CAATTATTTTGTGACATAATTGATCAAATTAGTGACTTTAAAATATAATTAAGGAGTATCAACACCTGCTTGACGGAAAAGGATCAACAGTATGCACAGAATGAAAGCTTGTGAATCATTTAGGGTAACTGCTCAATGTACAAAGATGAACAACTGGTTCTATACAAGTATACAAAAGGTGGCAGAAGATATAAACCAAGAGAAGAGAAAGAAAGGGCTCCCAAAGGCCCTTGCAACAGATTGCATTACAAAAGACATTTCAGCCCCTTTCATAATAAGGAACTACCCTTCGTCTATGTGTTCTAATAATTAAGAGTGATGTAACATTACTTTTTCAATTTTTACCTCCGATCCGATCCTTACATGCCAATATATGATTGACCCAATAAATAGATATTTTTTTAAAAAAATATAGGGTGTGGTAATTAAGTCAATTCAGGACAGGCAATGAATAACAAAAGTTACAAAATAGAACTATTATAAAGACTAAGAGTATATGTAGTTTGGAACAAAGGACTTCTAACTACTCTAAGTCGGGGGTATGGGGTCCTTAGGATTGGGGATTCAACCTTTAAGGCAAGTTTGGAACAAAGGGGCAGGAAATAGCTAGTGAATTGGGTAATGCCTTTTTACACAACCCAAGAGATCTACAAGGTGGACTTTATAGAAAAGAATAGCTCCATGCATGGACGATAGGGAAGAGTTTTTCTTCTCCTTAGCTTGGTGACATAACATGATCAATAGATACTTTAAAACAGAAGCAAGAAATTATTTTTTCATTTTTGGTAGTCATTTAAGACCTTTGGGTTGGAGGATAAAAAATATCTAGGAGGGTAGAATTGTAATCTTCTTAATGTTTGTTGCTTTTCAGTTATTAGTCTTCTTCCTTGGTTTATAACCGTGGTGTAAAGCTCTGCAACATATCATCCTTTCACATAATAATACTCTGCATTTTTTCCTTTTCTCTCTTCTCTCCAAAAGCTTCGTTCATGTAGCTCCTATTCCAACATGGTATCAGAGCGGCTATCCTACGCCGCTGCTGCCGTCCCTACCGTCGCCGGCGTGAATCAGGAGACGCTGGCTACCACTCCGATCGCACAATCTCCAGCCGCACAATCTCCATTCATGCGATTCCTTTCTCGTATTGTTCCAGAGTCAATTCCGCAGAGGAACTCGATCAATCGTGCTCACAGGAGCCTCAACTCAGATGATCTAGGCATCTCTGAGTAGTTGAATAAGCTGATATCTCTCCTTCAATCCCATGCGATGGAGAGGATTATTGTTATGCAGAGTAACAACAATGCCGACGCACTAGTCCGATCAGCATCACCAAGGATTCTGTAGAGGAATCTGAGTTCGGAGCAGCGGACTTCCGTAGCCGATCTGCAGCGGAAGGCGATCCAGGGAGCTTGTTCGTCGTTTCCGGTCATTCAATCACCAGTTCAGGTTCAGATGTCCTCCACAGTCGTTCCGTAGCGGAAGGATGGAGCTCATAGCCAAAAAAAAATGGAACAATCCTCCGATTCAGCCACAGTGGTTGTGTCTTTCGATCCGAAATTCGTTCGAAGAGAAAGGGAGAGGAGCATCGCCGGAGTTGGAGCAGAGGAAGCGGCATTGCTGGAGACAGAACTCAAGGACGCCGTTTCTCTGTCTCGCCGTCGCCTTCGAGCCAATGCCGTCGCCGGTGAGGAGATGGCGCCGGGAGTGGAGCCGCAGAAGATGTGGCGGGAGATAATAGCTCGGAATTTGTTGAAAGTTTTAAAAAATTTTAAGTTTGTTTTGAACGAGCATTCAATTGGTGACTTGATTGTGCCTGCCGATGCTAATGCATCTAAATTGATCTGAAACATTGCTGCAGAGTGCAGTGTCGCCTTTTATGAGGAGTCTAAACAGGTTTCTTATGATGTTATTAGGGATGAGAATGGAAACGTTAAATTTGATTGCTCAGCTATTAGTAAGCAGTTTGCTGCTGAAAATATATCTGCTTAGGTCGTGAGAAAGCTTGTGGATGATGCATCCAAGTTTTTGAATGACAAAGTTTCCAAAGTCGTAGTCACAGTTCCTGCATTTCCTTTTGTTGCACAATTTTCTTCCATGATGGCAGCAAATATGGCAGTGTTTGAACAGGCTTGTGATTCCTTCTTTCGCCATGCTGCACAACTTTCAGGGATCCCGGTGAGAATGGTGGAGAGGGGCAGGAGGCAGTTTCCATTGACTAAAGCCAGTGATAAGGCTGAAGAGATGCTGTGGGTTGTTTAAGCAAAAGGTTGATGGGTTTCTCATGCTGATAGAGAATGTAAATTGGATGGCTGATGATTCTCCTCAAGGGGGAAATGAATATGCTAATGATGTCAAGTGTTTCCCAGTTCCTTATGCTCTCTTCTTAAATGTCGTGGCAACAATTGCTGTTTTTATTGGGCAACACATAGTGAGGAGGTTGATTGTGGTGTTAGGAAGAGCCTCATTGATCATCTTCATCCTGGCATTCATGGCATTCACAATTGACATGCCAATAATTGATTATGACTTGGCAGTGCTTATCCAGCCAATGCTAATGCTTGGAATTAGTATTGGATTTAAGATGATCATGGCTACTGGAATTATTGATCCAATCAAGGTGGTGAGATGTTGTTTAAAGCATGCTGCATGCGATGTAAGGAGGTTTACTGGAAGAAAGTTTGAAGATAAAGAAGTGCAAAGGGACATGAAACTTGTTCCTTACAAAATTGTTAACAAGGATGGACAACAATATATACAAGTCAAGATCAAAGATGGTGAAACCAAAGTTTTTTTTTCTTCCAGCATACTTCAAGCTACTAAGGATGCATGCATCACTACTGGATTGAATATGGCTAGGATTATCAATGAACCAACTGCAGCTGCCTTTGCCTATGGATTGGACAAGAAAGGAAGATTGCCAATGGTCTGATCAAAGCTCTTCCAACATCTCTGTCTTAACTCCTTTCCATCTAAGCTGGGCATACAAGATTTGCATGCTCCAGCTTACCGGGGGTGTTGGAGGATAAAAAATATCTAGGAGGGTAGAATTGTAATCTTTTTAATGTTTGTTGCTTTTCAGTTATTAGTCTTCTTTCTTGGTTTATAACCGTGGTGTAAAGCTCTGCAACATATCATCCTTTCACATAATAATACTCTGCATTTTTTCTTTTTCTCTCTTCTCTCCAAAAGCTTCGTTCATGTAGCTCCTATTCCAACACTTTGGGATTATGTCAATTCAATCACTTTCATGTAGGTAATTAAAGTCATTATGCAAATTTCAGTCCATGAATCCATATGTAGGTTCCAAAGAAAAAGCGCGCATGCATATAATGTAAAGAAGATATTTTTTCATTCTTATGCTCCTAAAAAGGTATTGTCTCCTGAGAAAGTATGTGTGCAATAGGCACTTTTTGGCCTATTTCATTCTTCTTTTGTTAATAGTTTTTAATAGTTTAAATATGTATTTTATATAGAGTGAGCTTTATATAAATAATTTTGTGACTTATCTTATCCACAAATTTTATAATCGAAACTTGACAACTTTACATTTTTTATTCAAACTTATGATAATGTGGGACCTTTTGAACGATAGTTTTCACACTAGATGGGTATGACCAAGTGGGCTAAGTTGTTTATTTTGCATGGACGTGTGTATGACGTATGAAAGCTTAGGAAATAGAGAAAATGATGAATAATTGTGTATTTAAATATGAACGAAAAACTAGGACTATGTGGTCCAATGGTACCCGGGTTGGACTTCTATTTGGAAGGTTGTAAGTTTGAGCCTCAGTGGAGGCGTTATTAGCTCTTTGTGTTTAAATAACTCTTGAATTGTATTTTTTTTATTAAATTTGTATATATTTGGACAAAAAATTTTAATTACATACAATGTAATAGAGCTAGTAGCATTCAAAAAAAAAAAATATGAACGAAAAATGACATTTTTAAATAACTCTTGAATTGTATTTTTTTTTATTAAATTTGTATATATTTGGACAAAAAATTTTAATTACATTTTTATTTTTGTTATAGAATACAATACACTAAATGGATTTGAACTCAATTAACTCAGTTACAGAGATTTTCTAGATCTTCTAGATTTCTATCTTCATTTTCAAAGGTCTTAGGATATTATGTTTCTTAATTATGCTTCTTACATTTATAAATAGAAATCTCTAGGCAGAAGTGTCAAATAGGCTCATCTATTACTGCGGTGCTCAATTCTCATCACGAACTAAATTAAGTGTTAAATAAATCTATCTACCAGCTAAATTTGTTTGATCGACTTTTTTTGCAGGTTGATAACATGTTGCCTATTCAATTATTAAAAAAAAATATACGCGCATGGGCAGCTCAATTGGTGACGGGGTGAAACTTTAGAAGAATGACCAAGGATCGTGTCTCACCAACGACAGTGTGAGAACAACCTCTTAAAGTGAGAGGGGGTTTTTGAGCGCAGTGAGCACGGTCTAGCCTCTGTGGTGTGGTTCATGTTATCGGGTTGAGGTCATGTTCAGATCTGGAGCAGTGTGGGAACAACCTCTCAAAGTGAGAGGGGTTCCTTGAGCACGGTCTAGCCTCTGTGATTGGGGTTCCTTGAGCGCAGGCCTCTGTGGTTAATGTTCAGTTGAGTTATGTTCTAGGTCTAGCCTCTGTGGTTCATGTTCAGTTGAGTTATGCTGCTCTATCGGGTCGGGGTTATGTTCAGATCTGGAGCAGTGTGGGAACAACCTCTCAAAGTGAAAGGGGTTCCTTGAGCACAATGAGCACGGTCTAGCCTCTGTGATTCATGTTCAGTTGAGTTATGCTCTATCGGGTCGGGGTTATGTTCAGATCTGGACCTCAAACGGCCTCGTCGAACTGGTTGTAGTTACATAATTATTGACTTTAAAGTTATTAAACGGTTTAGTATAGCGAGCGGGTGGTGGTTGTGTTGATTTGTCTTTTGTGATAAACACTCAGAAATGAAGGAAGAAAGTAGGAATTGACAGCTAAAAAAGTACATCTCCCAACTTATCCTGAAAAGAAATTCTAGAAAACGGAAATTACTCCAAAGAAACTACTCTCCCTTGAAACTTGAGCAGCTGGTGGCTTCCTGGTGATCACTAACCGGACTGGAGCGCGAGGAGGATGAGGAAGCCGGAGCCAGACTCAAATCGGCTCTCTCTGCAGCGAAGAAATCGCGGAATGCTGGTATAAGACTCGCAGCTCGGCTGCTGTTGTCCCTCTTCTTGAAGAAGATGCGGCACAACACCAAATTTGCCTGAGGGGCGTCAGCCAGGCGATACTCGTGCATGATCCAATCTGTTTTGGAACTATTGGAAGGCTTTCCTTTGTAGAACGCCAGAGTTTTCCTGATTCCAATGACGCGCTGAGCCTCACCGGAAGCGGCGATTTTCTTGTCATTACCAGTGGCTTTCCAGTAGCCCGACAAGGTGGCTCTGCTGCACCTGTTCCCGCTGCCGTCCTTCACCTCTCTTGAGCTGAAGAAGTACCTCTCTCCATCTGAACCACCTGAATACAATTAACACATAACCCAAATTAAATTATTGGTTTTTGTTTACAACAGAAATGAAGAATAGAAACCAATAATAGTGCTTACCAGGCAAATTCCAAGGATCAGATTGGCAGACATTGTCAATCTCAAGGATGACAGCGGCTGGCAAAGGGGAGTTGAGAACTTTCGGGTTTAGGTAATGTAGAATCAATTCTTCATCAGTCGGATGGAAGCGAAATCCCGGAAGTAACATGCTCAAATTATCCATCTCAAAAACGTAGAGAGAGATAGAGTACTTGGGAATAAGAGAGAGGGTATGTATGACTGAATAGTCTAAACTTGGCCTCTCTAAATGGATAGAGATAGAGTACTTGAGAAAGAAAGGGCATGACTGAAAAGTCTCAACTTGGCCTCTCTATTTATAGAGCTTTAATGGCATCATTAGTTGTAAATACCCATCATACTATTGATTATTACTGAATAATGTCCATGAACAACAACAACAACAACAACCAAAAACTAATAAAATTAAATGATGAAAATAATTAAAAACAAATAAATAAGTACTTATTAAAAATTAGAAAAATGATTTTCACCCTTAAAAAATCACACAATTATATATAAGCACTCTTTCATGTGGCAATTTTTTTATGTTTTTTTTTTTAAATGTCAATTCACTTCAAAATGCGACTACATGGAGTGAGTTTGTGTTAGTGGTAAATGTGGGGTAGTACAGCACGTCCATAAAAATTATATGAAAATAGATACATGCTATTCATTAATTTAAAGTATAAATTTGATAAAAAATTATAATTGTAAAACATAAAGAGCACCAAATGAAAGCATTTAATGACATGTATATCACTAACAAATTTTTTATTCTAGTTAAAGACTAATGTTAAATTAAAATAAATCTTACAAGAAAAACTGTGGTGGGTAAAATTTAAAAAAAAAAAAAAAAGTGTAAATGAACAACTCAATAAACAAATACTTAAAGACAACTTATACTAATAACACAATTCCCATTTCAGTTAATAAAGACTCACATTATTGGCTTGTATTTTATATATATATATATATATATATATATATATATATATATATATATATATATATATATATATATATATATATATATATATATATATATATATATATATATGTCTACTATATCTACTATCTACTATACTAATAAGAGCCCAAGAGAGTTAGGCCTATAATGGGTAGAAAAAATGGCGGATTTTAATCAAATGAATGGCTCAGATTGATTAAAAAATTGATTAGATTTAAATTTTACACTAAAATTTCCTAAAATAACCACACACCGTTACTAATTTCGTTAAAATTTTAAGAATTGCCGTTAGTTCACCGTTAACTTACCCATTGATTTCAATAAAAAAAAAAAAAAAAAAAAAAAGGTCTTAGGTTCGAACCTCATCCCAATCAAAGTTGGCATAATTAGTACTCTATTTTACTCTTATATTAAATTATATATAAATAATAATTTAGTAGTTACAACGAAAAATAATACATATGCATTTCTTTAATTTAGAATTATGTGTCCACAATGCCTTTATTCAAAAAAAAATTATTCATTATCAATAAATTAAATAAGAGAAATAATTTTATTAGTTATATTGTCTTTATTTTAAAAATTCTTTATATTCAAATTTATTAATTGATTATATTCGCTACATTATCCTTACAATGTCTTTATTCAGTGAAAAAAATTATTAATTATCAATAAATTAATTAAAAGAAATATTTTCATTAGTTATATTGTCTTTATTTTTCTCAAATGTAAAAATTTTTACATTCAAATTCATCAATTGATTATATTCACTACATTATCTATTATCTTTTTTGTGCACTATTTTTCTAATTAAATATCAAAGTTATAATACAAAATAATGCTATACATTTATTTACCAAGTATTTTATTAATACCATGAAAAATTAAAAAAATATAATTAATAAAGCCAACCATATTAACTACTTGAGAGATTTTGTGACAAAGAGAGTATTCAAATCACACAACAAATTGAAGTGAGAACTACCTCGCAATGTCCTTGTTTGACAATCAGCAGTTAGCGGTTAGCGTTAGCGGATTCTACTCGCGGATTTGACTAGCGAATTTATTTAATTATTAACATTGGATAGAAAAAATGACCGCCAAATTATTAAATCAAATGAATGGTTCATATTGTTCAGGTTTTAATTTTTTTTCTTTTAAGATTTTCTAATTTATCCTTAATTATATGATTATCCATTTAACTTTTCCGTTAATTCACAGTTAGTCTAATTCTAATATTAAAGTCTAATATAGAATTATAACTACACCATTAATCTAATTCTAATATTAAAGTCTTAATAGAACTTAACCACAAATCCTAATGTCGGAATCTCCTCAAACAATATTAGTATATATTTAATATTTTATGCCCTAATTTTTATTTATTTTCCCTTATGTCCCGTATTTGGTTTCAACCATACCTATACAATTATTTTATTGACAATTATAATCAATCTTGACTATATTATCTTGCATTTGTAAATTTAGAATTACCTATTTAACCCGCACGGGCTTAGCTCAATGGTTTAGTGGGTAGTATTTGGGAGAAGAGACCAAGGGTTGAACCTCGGCGGCGGCAGTGCGGGAATTATGTCCAAAGTGGGTAGATTCCTTGTGCGTATCAGCATTTGGCCCTGTCTGCTGAACCATTGAGTCACCGTGATTTACAACTTCCCATAATGCTCTGTCGGGTCGGAGTGTGGGGGGCCCTTGGAGTTGGGGACTCAACCTTTGGGAGAAGAATTACCTATTTAAATACGCAAATTCAACCTTCAATTATCTATGTATGAACAATTTCAATATAGTCCTGCCTTAATATACTTTAAAGTACTTATTTTTTTAAAAAAAAAGCATTGGGCATTATCCCAATCACGCAATGCGCGTAAAAAACTAGTATATATAATAAGGTTCAGGTGCGGCAGTGCAGCGTCACCAATAGTTCAACAAATAGACACCATCAACGTTAGGAAAATGCACCACAAAAACACACACAAATTTGGTACGCATTATCAAAAACACATCATTAGGTGTGAGTAAAAATATCATACAATGTTCAGAAATACACCATTAGGGTGTGGTCAGTTATATGGTGTATTGTTTTGTGTCTGTTGTGTATTTTTTTGGTGTTTTTTTTTTTCATTTCATTGTGGTGTGTTTTCCATACACTATTGGTGCATGTTGTTAACACTGTTGGTATATTCTGAAATTTCACCGCACCACCGCACCTAAAGACATCGCCGCATTTACACTTTTTCTTATATATATATATATATATATATATATATATATATATATATATATATATATATATATATATATATATACTAGTCTTTTCTATGTGTGATGCGCAAAAACATATGCCCAATATTTAATTTATATTTTAAAACATAACAAACAAATTTTTACTAATTAAAATCTAAATGGAATAAAAATTATTTATTAATTAATCCAATATATAATGTCTACAAATATTATTATCTTTGAACAATATAAGTAAGGATATGGTGGATGCATGTGCATGGTAAAAGTAATAGAAAAGATACCGGAAGTTATAATGGTAAGGATATTTTTGTCTAGTGGTGGGAATAGACCAGGCCCCTTCGTAGGGGTCTAAGGCTCGGCGCGGCCTATTTAAGGCCTACATAGGCGAGGCTTGTTTAGTAAAAAGGTCAGGCTTGGGCCTATTTTGAAACCTATTAAATTAAACAGGCCGGACTTATTTATACCAAGCTCGGCCTTCAGGCCTAGCCTATTTACACACAGTCGTTATATCGTGCACCGCGGTTGTGACACCCTGTAATCCAAATCCAATTAAGGGATTAATTAAGTAATTAATCCTAATCCAATTGATAATTTAATTCCTTAAATTCAATAGTCAGGGACTAGTAATTGACTAGTCAACCCATAAGTCAAGTGTTGTACCTAAAGCTTTGTGAGTGGTTCCGTTGTTCCCTTACACCTCTTCATTTTAGTAAGGGCAATAAATACATTTCACCCTATGTTAGAATTGCAAAGCTAACCTAGAGGACACTCCTCATTCTTTCCCCTTACACTTCCTAAACTTGAGCTCTTCCTTCTCTCTAAAATTTAGATAGCTTTTCTTCCAAGCCAAGTTGAAGCTTTACCAAATCCTCAAAGTTTGTCTTCAAGATTGCAGCTTTCCTACCTTTGAGCATCTAGGAGGGTAAGATCTATGTTTATCTTGTGTTTTTAGTGTTTTCTAAGGTGTCTTTCCTTAAAGGTAGAATCTTTATGATCTTTTGGTGTGTTCTTGAAGTGGGTGTGGAAGGTGAACCCTATTAGGAGCTTGGTGAAGTGTTAAGTGAAGGTTTTTGTCTACAAGAGGTAACCCATGCTCTACAAAATCTATTTTGTTTACCTATATGATGATTTATTGGATTCTACATGTGTTTTACTATGAAATGTGAGTGTTTATGCATTGTCTTGTGAAAATGCATATCTAGAGCTTGTGTTTAGGGTTCATGTATGCCATTGCATGGCTATTCATTCGATTCAAGTCATTTGGTTGTATTTGGTGAGATTTGGCATGTTTTGGACTTGAATTTGAGTTTGGTGTTGAAAATCCCCGAAGGAATTATTTGTGGTACATGATGTGTACCCACGGGCGGAACAGCGGGTAGGCGTCCACCCGCCGCCCCACCCGCGGGGTACATGGCCGGTGGGTGTTGGTACCCGCGGGCGGAACCACGGGTGAAGGTCCACCCGTGGGCCCACCCGCGGGGTACATATGTTGGTTGTGCGGGGATTTGTTCCCCGTGATTCTTTTGACTCGGTATTTGGTCTTTTGACTTCCCGATGTTCTTTTGTGGAACTATTTGAGTGTCTTCTTGATGTTTCATATGTCTAGAACTATATGGTAGGAATCCATGTAGGTTTTTGTGTCTTGAATCGTGCTAAGTGTTCAACATTGTGATTCGTTGAACCGTGGTGGGTCTTGTGTGGTTTTTGGAACTATGTTCGGTTTACCCATTTGATAAGCATGCTAGTTCGGTGTTTAAATGCTAGCGTGTGTGTTGTTTGTCCTTTCTTATTGGTTGATGATGACTTGTGTTAATCATCGTTGTTGTTGGACTGTGATCCATTCCTTGTTGAGTATGGTTTCATATCTTCGTTGTGATCCGTTGATTGATTCCTGTTGTGGTGTGGTGTGTGTGGCTGTACCTGGATTGCACGATTAATGGTATGGGACATTAGTCACCAAGGTACGGCAGTGGTCCTCGTGGTGGCCATGACGTGATTATGGA